CAATTCTTGCATTCTGTGAAAACGGGTAAGGTTGACTGTAACGTAATAATCTTTATCTTAGTTATCGTTACTTTTGCCCGAGCAACGCCGGGCCCACCTGCTAGTATATATATATATATATTTATAATTAAATTATTATTTATGGAAATATAAATTCCATAAAACTGAATTATCAAGTTTATATCATATTTTTATTAAATATTTATGCTGATTTAAATTATGGAAATTAGTTAGAACTGTAAAGATTAAATTATAGATTAATAGTGTTTATATATTAAATTCTGAAATTATAAGGCCTTTAAAGCAATTAAATTAGATGTGACTTATGGGAAAAAAGGAGTTACAATAGAGTTAAACTAATTTACATTTTAAATAAAGATGTTTATTCAAAAATTAATAGATAAAATATTTCATTTTGATAGAATTTAAATTTAAATTAAAATACTATAATCTTAAGAAAATGTTTTTAAATTAGATTTTTGTTATAACATTTTCAAATCCCATAATGATAAATTTTTCAGGTATCTCGGATAACGTCTAAAAAATTGATTACGGAATTTTCTCATTTTCTACGAACTTTTTCGATTCTTAAATTATAAATTAAATAATTCGAAAGCAAGAAAATACCAAAGCGGTTAATATGATCTGTTTAAATTTAGTTAAAAATAATAAATTCAAATAGTATAATTCAAATGGATTTTTAAATAACGGGAAATTTGAAAATAGTAAATTGGTAATAATAATAATTTAAGACATTCGGTACATGAAATATATGATCTTATAAACTATTCCATTCATTTATTTTCAGTGTAGAGAACAACAGCTATATTTTACATGAATATAAATAGAATAAAGTATTAAAATAATTTACTTATCAAATACAGTTTTAGCCATTTTGTAGAACATAGATTTAAGAATAAGTAAGCTATTAATGATGGAGTAAAAACAAGAAGTTAAAAGTTAATATTTTGTAGAATTGCGAGTATTAGTAGTAGAATTCTTTCATATCTATAGAATAGAGTAGACAAATATATAATTTAAGAAATATTTCAATTATAAATTATGTAAACAAAATATGTATATATGTATGTAAATGATTAATCGATTTTTCAATCACGTTTATTTTGTTAATTTAGTTGTTTTTAAGTTTGCAGTTTTGTTGTACACAAGAGATGTCATGAATATGTAACCTTTAAATGTCCTGGTGCTGATAAAGGAGTTGATTCTGATGTAAGTATGTATGAATAAATAAATGTATGGTTTGAATATTCTGAACTGTTGTTTACATGACAAACTATTGATCTTTGTGCATCTTAATTATGAAACAAAATTTTAGTGTAATTAGTATTATAATTTTATGAAAAGAGAGTTTACATTATTCTTTTCCTTATTATTTAATGTTAAATCTAAAAAAAAAAGAGTGAAAAACAGTTATGTTTATATTTTCAGCAGCTGTTGTAAAATTTCCTCACTTCTAGAATTTAATGTTTATAATATTGCTATTTCAAATAATAACATCTTTAAACATATATATATATATATATTATCTTTAAAGTTAATAAACAAACATTATATGAAGTAATGTTTATATAAATTTTAAAATAATATGTTAAACAAAATTTTATTTTATAAACTTTAAGAAAATATTACTATACTGTTATAAATTTAATAACAATAATATAACTTTTTAAAAAAAATAATAAGTAGAATAATAAGAAAACTTGATATTCATCTTTGAGTAATCAGATTACAGTTGTACGGGTTTTGCTTCACTTAGCATTTTTTGTTTTTATAATTAAATTGGCTGATGTTTTGTTTAGTTGTAGTCATCATTCCTTACAAAATTACAATTTAATTGAAATTATAAATTTGTTTTATTAAAATAAAATTATTGAAGAACTGTATCAGTGTTAAGAAAATAAAGCTCAATTTTATTAACTAGAAAGTTAAATTAAACATGATGATAAAAAACATTTTTAGATAAAATGATTAACATTACCAATAAAATGTAGCTTAACTATGTTTTTCTCTATCTAAAATTTGTAATAAACATAACAACTTTATTCAGTAAATATAATAATAATTTATTTTATTCTCTTCTTATTTAACTGAATTAAAACTTTAATTCCAGGATGCTAGAACTAAACATCAGTTTGCTATACATACTTATACANTAATGTTAAATCTAAAAAAAAAGAGTGAAAAACAGTTATGTTTATATTTTCAGCAGCTGTTGTAAAATTTCCTCACTTCTAGAATTTAATGTTTATAATATTGCTATTTCAAATAATAACATCTTTAAACATATATATATATATATTATCTTTAAAGTTAATAAACAAACATTATATGAAGTAATGTTTATATAAATTTTAAAATAATATGTTAAACAAAATTTTATTTTATAAACTTTAAGAAAATATTACTATACTGTTATAAATTTAATAACAATAATATAACTTTTTAAAAAAAATAATAAGTAGAATAATAAGAAAACTTGATATTCATCTTTGAGTAATCAGATTACAGTTGTACGGGTTTTGCTTCACTTAGCATTTTTTGTTTTTATAATTAAATTGGCTGATGTTTTGTTTAGTTGTAGTCATCATTCCTTACAAAATTACAATTTAATTGAAATTATAAATTTGTTTTATTAAAATAAAATTATTGAAGAACTGTATCAGTGTTAAGAAAATAAAGCTCAATTTTATTAACTAGAAAGTTAAATTAAACATGATGATAAAAAACATTTTTAGATAAAATGATTAACATTACCAATAAAATGTAGCTTAACTATGTTTTTCTCTATCTAAAATTTGTAATAAACATAACAACTTTATTCAGTAAATATAATAATAATTTATTTTATTCTCTTCTTATTTAACTGAATTAAAACTTTAATTCCAGGATGCTAGAACTAAACATCAGTTTGCTATACATACTTATACAGGACCTACATTCTGTGATCATTGTGGTTCTCTTCTTTACGGTATTATACATCAAGGCTATAAATGCAAAAGTATGTTTACAATTAACTTATTGTTTTTAATATTAAAAAAAAAACAAATATATTTTAAATATAATTTTAAAATTTTATAGTATGTGATATGAATGTACATAAGAGATGTCAAGAAAGTGTTCCAAATCTCTGCGGTTGTGATCACACAGAAAGAAGAGGAAGAATTGAGTTAAAAGTATCAGCTACAAATAATAAGTTGGTATGTGAAGGTAAGCATAATCTGCATGAATTTTACAAAAATTTTAAATAAATTTTGTGGAAAAACAAAATTTCTGGCTTTCCAAAATGTTTCTTAAAATTAAATTATATAATTAACTTAATTTGTTATAACAATTTGAATTTTTGCATAATTATCTGATTATAAATTCTTGGATAAAAAATATAAATTAAAATTTAAGAAATCAATATTTGTATCAATTAATGTACTGTACATTAGATTATTTTTGGAGTTTATATTCTAATTTCAATTGTTTTTGAGTTTAAATTAAAATCTTCAGAAAATGCTTTAATGGGATAAAAATTTACAGATAAACAATGTACCTAGTTACTTCTAAATTTCTCAATTGAAATTAATTTAAATGAAATTTCAAGAATTAATATTGATCTCAGATAATATACAAGATGCTTTTCCTACTTAAAAATTGAATAATTAATTGATATTTTTGAAAAATTTTTGACAAATTCGAAAAACTATATTTTTAATTACTCAAAAATTGAATATCCTTTCTTATATAGCTTTAATTTATAATGTCAAAATTAAGAAATTAATGTATGTTGTTTATACTTGTATTTATAAACTATAAAACAATTTATATAAAAAAATCGAATTATAGTATTAGTTTTTAATACTTTGTATCCATGGATTTTCATAAACACTTATGTCATAAATTATGAATTCCCTATAGAATTCACTTTAAGAATTTAAATTTTTTTTAAAGAGATTATTAATTAATAATTTATTTAATACTATATAAAATGTTTTTCATGAGACTATGTCTCGTCTCTAAAATTGCACTGCTGTCAATGGCTGCACACCTTAGAGGTATGAAGGAAGGAGTACTGTACATGTCAGGAGTTGCAATTTGGCACAGAGTATTTGGTGCCCAAATCTTGTGCACATAAAATAAACCAGACTTGTAGGTAGTCAGGACTGAGTACTGGGTCAAAAAAATATGAAATGCTGAGACTGTTTCTACAAACAGGCTCAGCATTTCATATTTTCTACAAACAGGCTCGAGTATGAGATTTGCACATGTTGCTCGTGCTCTATGAGACAAAGTCTCGTCTAAAAAATGGCTTCGCCATTTTACTTGTTCCATTTGCAATAGAAATGCTAGTCAAAGTAGTAATAAAAATTTTATACAGTCATATCCTCAATGATGTGAAATGTGCAATAAGGTGAATTATTTTCAAGAACCTTTGCCATTTGCTGTACATTTAATATTAAAAATATTTAATATGGTGAATATTTGTTAAGGTAAAAATTTTAATAAGGTGAACTGTTCTTGTAAGACAAACAAGTAATAAGATGCTTTGATAAAGTGAACTAAATTTGACTTAGATAGTTTTAGAAAATTTTGAAATTCACTAGATGATGCTCTTTGTGTTTCTTTCAGAAAATATTCTCTGGAAGGTATTTATCTGAGGGAGTGTTACAAATACATTTATATACATACATACACACATACATACATATATACAGGGGTCATACAGAGGCAAATGTCTTCCTCAATTACATATAATAGCAACTTCATTTTGTATTTTGTTGATGCTTTTATTCAGACATCAGAGTGATTACTTGTTACCATTTGAAATCAGGTAGGACTATGGTTAAATCAAGCAATTAAATTGTGTGTATGTCGGTAGGGCCAAGGTTGATTGACAGTCTATGTCATTAGTGATGAGTCACAAATTTGCCAACTGACGAGTTTGCTAGTTGGAGTTTTACAAGTTTCGAGTGTGTCACCCGTTGGGGAAATTATAAGCCAGTTTCCAATGCACTATAAGATTAAAATTGGTATTTACATTATCATGTAACATCATTGTAAATCTAGCTTTGTAGTTCTATTATGGAAAAATCTTCTCTACTTAGAATTTTAGGATTTTAGAGAGTGCATACACACCCTCTGTGGATCTGCCCCCCCTGATATACATTAAAACAATGATCCTTTTACAAAGTTTATTTTACTAAATTTTGTAAAAGCAAATGATCACTGTAATTACATACAAGTTTACATATGAAAAATTTATTTTTATATGAAGTTATTTGAGGGAGTATTTTTCAATCTCCAAGGTGGGTAATACCCTCGCAAACCCCCTCTGAAAGAAAGCATACACTCTCTTAATTATGCATGGAACTTGTTAATTGTTTTAAAAATTAAAGCATTTTGTATACAGGATTATTTATTTAATGACGACATTTTAAGTTTAGAAGAAAATTGGGCCAACTTAAATTAGAAGCAGTGGAAACTCTTCAAAATCACATTTGATGACTACATTAATGTTAATAATAATTTATCTTTTCTGTAACAAATTAACAACTGGAGATCTTTCTGTGAAACATGGTAACTGATATAGTTAATAGTGATGAACTTGTTATTGAATCAAGATGCATTGTATTAGTTACAGGTTCAGAGCAATTAAATATGTTACTCATTTACGTAATTTCATATATAATAAAACTGATGCTACCCAATTTATTTTTGATAAATTTGATAAAATTGAACTAAAAGTTAATCATTTAGAACTTGTTGGAAAGTGCCAAATTATCATTATTAATCCCTTTTTAAATAAATAAATGAAATTTATATTATTCTTCAATAGGTGAATATTTTATTTGGAACAAATGGGTTCACCTTATTGAGAATTGACTCTATTTAATTGCAATTATATGCATGTAGATAGAAGAGAATATGTTAAATAATATGATAAAATATATGAAAATTTCTTTGTACAATAAATATAATTTTTAACAAAACTTTTGTGGATATTTTGAATTAATACAAAAAAAAAAAAATTTCTATTTTATGAAGTAAAAAACTAAATAGATTTTAAAATTAAAAATAATTATGTATTTTTAAAATGTTAAAAGTAAATCAAGGTTATTGTCATATAATGCATTTCTGTTTTAATGTGAACTAATAAATTCATTAAAAATTGATTTAATTATTTTAAAACTAATTAAAACTTGAAAAGCATTACATTACTCAAATTTTCAAAAGTTAATCAGAAGTTGAATTACTTTAAAAGAAATGAACATAAAAATAATTTTAAAAAATACTTTAAATTTATAGAACAATGTGTTTTTCTATCCTAATCAATAATAAAATTATATAATTTTTATATATTAAGCAGAAATACATAGAATATAAACTAACTGGGAAATTTTTGTATAATTTTGATTTAATTATGTAATTATATTTAATCCTTCTATAGTTTATTTCAATTTAATTTTTTGAAACATACTATGCAATAACTAAGAAAAATTTTGTTCTAAAATATAAAAGGATAAATTCAAAATATACAAAACATAAATATAGATTTTGTTTATTATAACTTAAATACTTTGTGATTTATTGGAATAATGCACTTTATTTGTCTAAAAAATAAATAAATAAATAAATCAATTACAATATTATTATTTTATTTAAAATTATGTTGCTGAAATATTTCCTACTTGGTGTATACCAGTGCCTAGTGCTATGCTAGACCCCTGGTTCTCAATCCGTGGTCTGCAGAACTTGGTGCTTCGTGAAGCCACTTCAAGTGTTCTATGAAAAAATAAAATATACAATTAAAAATCGTTGCAAAAGAAAAATCGATACAATGTACTGTACAATAACTTTTGTATGGGAATGTAATGAGCAAACACCATACTAGACCGAGTGTGCTCTTGATTTCAAAAAAGATTGCTACCCCTGCTTTAAACCTGGGGTATTGTAGGTGTTCCACGACTTGTCAAAGTTTAGTGTTCCCTGATTTCAAAAGATTGAGAACCACAGTGCTAGACAAAGGTCAAATAATAGCTACGGGACCAAGCAAGGAAAAACTATTACTGTGATTATTTGCTGTTTGTTTATGTACTGTACAGCACTTGTATCTGTACTTACGGATTTTCTTAACTATATGATGTTTAGCACAATGTTTACTATGGCTGCTTTCTGTATCGTGATATATGTGCTGTTGTGAAGCTGTAATATTTCAAGACTTTTGTTATGTGTATGTAGTATGACATTTGTGGAAGAAAGTACTCTAGGTACCATAAGTACCTAGCTGTTCTCTACAGACTTTATTTTGTGGGTGAGTTCTGAGTATTTACTAATTTTTCAGTGTATGTTAGTTCCAAAGCCAGGAATAATCATTAGGGGCTAGATTTATAAATGAATGGTAATCTGAAAAAATTACTTTCTTTTCTAGCTGATGCTTTCTCTTTTCTAGGCCTATTAGCTACAGTCAATGTGTAAAAAAAGTAACAGTAGCTAGTGTTACCAACTGTCTGGTTTTCACCCGGACAGTCCAGGAATTGACTCGCTGTCTGGGTGAACTATTAATTTTGTCTGGGAATTTTGTAGAAATTGTGAAATTACAATGAAACAAAGTTTATACAAATTTATACTATTTTAACAGCGAAAGAACTCGCACTCGCTGAAACTCATCTGTAATTCTGCCATATTAGTCTGTTTACGCCAATGTGTAGTGCACAACCTGTCGTTGACCCTTTATTTTTTGCATGTATGATTGTACACATCTCTCCAACATCAAATAAAGCTAAGTCATCTGTACCTGTTATTAATTTAGGTTACTCCTACGCAAGTCCCTAGTCCCTAACTGTAACTGATTTAGACCCTCCATGCACGTTATTCTTCGCATTGTAAAATGACATTGCGCATGCACCAGGAACTTCTGTTTGAACAAACCTGACCTGCTGTCCAGGTCAGTGATTTTCAAAAGGTTGCAACACTAACAGTAGTCTAAATTAATGTGATGAAAGTGAAAGCATATACTGATGGCTGAGAGTGATACCTCATATCTACAAAATTCATATTGCAGTAAGAACTTGTGACTACTATATTATTACATTAAAAAATTAAATGTGCAGAGTTTTATGCCATCCACATACTGTATATGAGATGAGATGTGCATTCTGTTGTATGTGATGTTACATATGAATTTAGTCTTTAAAAGTGGGTTTAAGGCTAGAAAATACCAA